TACCTCAATCTTATCGTAAACCAGGAGCTGAGCAAGGGAGCGGGCAAAGGCATCGGTGCGCCTCGGTCGGTGCGTGTAAGGTTTACAAATGGAGCAGCAACGTCCAAGCTAATGGAAAAAATGCAAATGGAGGTTGACGGATCAGAGAGCAGCGAATTCAGCGAACAGCAGTAGAGCAGAAAAAACCCCCCCAAGAAAGCCATTGCCAAGCAACTCTTCTTTATTTAGTGTAGTACACGGATGGGGGAGCGTCGGATTTTTTGCTTAATTCTATTTTTAAAAAAGGCACCTCCATCCAACACTAGACGAGGAAATCCTATTGTTTTGTGGTGGTTTTGCATTAGATAAAGGATTTCGGATGCGAGGGGGCGAAAATAGCAAAAAGGGCTTTTCTAAAAATAACTAAAATTCGAAATTCCACACGATGCTTTTACCGCGCGTGCTGATCGCTGCGTGTTTATTTTTATTTCGGGTGGGAAACCCAGAAAGAAAACTGCTCGTCAGACTATCTTTTGCTAGGCCTTTTTGTTACATGCAATCATTTTTGTCACTGTGGTAAAGGGAATGAGACAGCAGCGAATATTAAGTGGCCAATCAGCGCATGAACAAGTACTGGATGCGCCTAAGCGAAAAAGTGCTAATGGGCAGCTGACATAGCATGGCCCAGCGCCAACGGTGACGCGATTGACCAGTTTCCAGGACTGTCAACGACTAAAGCCCTTTGCATATTCGGCCAAAGCACGAAGAACCTGCACGGGCTGCTTATTTTTACTTTTTGCCATTCTACGCGCCGCATTGCTTTACCTGGTGGCAGTATTGTGATAGGATGACGATGGTTTCTCTTTCACGCTCAAGAACAGAAGCTTTCTGCTGCTAATATAAAGTCCAGGAATAATTCTCTTTGCAGCGAAACCTTTCGTACCATCTTGGTTTTTTCTTCTCTTGAAACAGCATTCATCATTCCTTTTTTGCTTTTCGTAGCTATACCATTATCAAGTCCTAGTGCAGCCTATTGTTAAACCCTGTCATTCTAGCCTACAGAAAAGCATCACTATCCGTGCGTGCTCCAATTCAAGAACCTTTATCAACATATTCCCAACGGGACCTACGCTTGCAACCAGCTCTGAATAGGTAAGTCTTTCCATTATATCTGCACTATAGCTGCTTCTGCTGCTATCATCGGCCATCTCTTATCTGACCACCACAATCAGCGCTATACCAGAGCCATACCAAACCTGGTATTCGTGTTTCTCCTTTGCAATTCAATTGTCGATGATCGGACGGACGCCCACGTTTTCTGTTCTATCAGTCCCAAAGCCAAGCGCTAGTACCAACGCTGCAAGCATAGCTGAAAAATGGAGTGAGGGATGGAAAGCAGAAAGAGCCCAACCTCTCCGTCTTCTTATTCCTGCCCTCGTGTGCATGCATTAGTAGCTGTACCTTTTCTCAGTCGCTTGCACGATGACGTTGAATGGATTGATATTACTGTATGCATGGCCTGCTCACAGATATTGCGCTTGTTTGGATCTCGTGCAACACTCATTCTATTACCACCACATGGAAAACAAGATCTCTGTTTTTAACAAGCGGAGAAGAGGACCATGGGGAAAGCGTTGTCGTGTGTGGTTGCGTGCTTTGATATGATAATAGCAATGCATTTTGTTGTTGTTTATTTAGCCCACGCCACCCATGCGCGAGCTTTTCTCTCTTTCTCTGCCTCACCTGCTGTTCGTGTGCTTTATCTATCTCCAAAGATGCTGCAGGCAAACCAAAGCGGAAAGCAAAACGGCCTTCTTGGGCGAGTAAAAGGAGGAGATGGTGCGTACATATTATTGTCTTTTGGTTGTTCTCCGCACCAAATAGCCCACGCCCATGCCCACGCCCACGCCCAACAGAAATGCAAATTTCGACGATGTTTTGTTCTATTGTCATCTGCCTGTTCTGTTTGAGAACATTTAATGGCTGCTTCCCACACATCACAGCACAGCACAGCCTCCTTCCTACCTGTTGTGACTTTTGCCACTCCCGCCCAATGCTGTGCACAGGTCAGGCCAGGCCAGATACGAAAAAAGAAAATTGGCTACCACACCCTCATCCTCTCAGTAGAACGAACGCGGCCATTTTCCGTCCTGTCAAGCCATACCATGTGGGCCCAGCACATAACAGGTGCAGCAGGCCTGCACAGGCCGGCTAGACAAGCCAAAAATACGCTGAATAGCGAAAGAAGGAAGCACGCAAAATCAATGGGGCGGGGTGATGCGACGATACTGCTTCGTTTGTTTTCTCTTTATTTGGTTTCTCGCCCACATTGATTTCTCCTCTTCGTCTTTTCTTCAGGGACGCTGGCAATGGTGATGGTTATGTGGCTTTCCTTGCTATAAAAAGGATCCCCTCGCCTGTGCCGCAAAAGAAAAATGGATGCTAATCCATCTCAGCAACTACTACTTCTCTCCTTTTTCTCTTTTCTCTTTTGCAAGTTGGCAGTAGAAGCACTTTCCCATTCTCTGTTTTCTTGTGCAATCAGCAGCCGTCTAATCAGCTCTCTTGCTTGAGTTTTCTTTTTATTTCTCTTTGCTCTGCCTTTAAACTGTAGAAACTCAATTCTTAAGGCTATCATCATCTATCAGCAACCATGTGTGGAATCTTTGCCTATCTGTCCTACTTTGTGGAGAAGGACTGCCGTTACGTCACTGAAACTCTGCTCAAGGGCTTGGCTCGTCTCGAGTACCGCGGATACGATTCGGCCGGTATTGCTTTTGATGGCAAGGCCAACAACGAGACTGTTATAATCAAGCAGGTTGGCAAGGTGTCTGCGCTGCGCGCTCTGGTCGAGCAGACCGACATCGACCTGAACCAAACCTACAATGTGCAGACCTCCATCTCACACACCCGCTGGGCCACCCACGGCCAGCCCTCGCCTGTCAATGCCCATCCCCACCGGTCGAACGACAGCAACGAGTTCACCATTGTGCACAACGGCATCATCACCAACTACAAGGAGATCCGCACCCTGCTTGCCAACAAGGGCTACTCTTTTGCAACCGAGACCGACACTGAGGTTGTTGCCAAGCTGCTCAAGTACGTCTATGACTCGCAGCGCGGCCAGCACATCAGCTTCCCCGATCTTGCCAAGGCTGTTATCAAGGAGCTCGAGGGCGCCTTTGCCTTCCTGTTCAAGAGCATTCACTATCCTGGCGAGATCGTTGCTGCTCGTCGTGGCTCTCCCCTGCTTATTGGCATCAAGACCTCCGAGAACCTTGCCGTTGATTTTGTTGATGTTGAGGAGGTCACTGGCAGCATTGCTGCAGCAAGCATCAACGAGGAGAAGGCTCCTGCATACGCCAAGCGCGCACAGTCGCGGTCTTTTGCTCGTGCCGACGGCAGCTCTCAGCCGCTCGAGTACTTCTTGGCCTCCGATCCCTCGGCCATCATTGAGCACACCCGTCGTGTCCTGTACCTCGAGGACGATGATATGGCCCACATTAGTGGCAACGGCGATCTGCATATCTACCGCCTGCGCCGTGACGACGGTCTGTCATCCATTCGCTCAATCAAGACCCTTGAGATGGAGCTTGCTGCGATCATGAAGGGCAACTTCCCGCACTTTATGCTCAAGGAGATATTTGAGCAGCCCGAGTCTGTGGTCAACACTATCCGCGGCCGCGTCGACTTTAACAACCACAAGGTTGTGCTTGGCGGCCTGCGCAACTACTTGGCCTCAATTCGCCGCTGCCGTCGTATTGTGTTTACTGCTTGCGGCACCAGCTACAACAGCTGCCTTGCCACCCGCGCCATCTTTGAGGAGCTGACCGAGATCCCTGTTGCTGTTGAGCTGTCGTCCGAGTTTTTGGACCGCAAGTCGCCAATTTTCCGTGACGACGTCTGTGTCTTTGTCTCGCAGTCTGGCGAGACCGCCGACACCATCCTCGCTCTGCGCTACTGCCTTGAGCGCGGTGCTCTGTGCGTAGGTGTCACAAACACTGTCGGCTCTAGCATCTCGCGCGAGACCCACTGTGGTGTGCACATTAACGCCGGCCCTGAGATCGGTGTTGCTAGCACCAAGGCATACACGTCGCAGTACCTTGCGCTTGTGATGATGGCTCTGCAGCTCGGTGAGGATCGCATTTCAATGACTGAGCGTCGCCATGAGATCATTGATGGCCTGCGTGAGCTCCCCAACCTTGTTAAGGAGGTGCTTACTCTTGACAACTCTATCAAAGAGCTGTCGAAAGACCTGTATCAGGAGAAGAGCATGCTTGTGCTGAGCCGTGGTTTCCAGAGCGCAACTTGCCTTGAGGCTGCACTCAAGATCAAGGAGCTTTCATACATCCACTGCGAGGGCATCATGGCTGGCGAACTCAAGCACGGCCCGCTTGCTCTTATCGACGAGAACATCCCCATTATCATCATCATGACCCAGGACGCCTACTACCCCAAGGTCCAGAGTGCGCTGCAGCAGGTCCAAGCACGCAAGGGCAACCCTATCATTGTATGCAACAGCAATGATACCAACCTCAGTGATGGGAGCAACAGGACCATTCGTATCCCGCACACTGTCGACTGTCTGCAGGGCATCCTATCTATCATCCCCATGCAGCTGCTTTCGTACCACATGGCTACACTGAACGGCGTTGATGTTGACTTCCCCCGCAATCTGGCCAAGTCTGTCACTGTTGAGTAAAACATGGCATTTAAAAATGCATTATTTCTTTCTGTATGTTTTCCAATCCACAATATTATTTGTTTATGAGGATTAAAATAAAATAAAATAAAATAAAATGATATTTAATAATAGCCTTTTGGAGTATGAACATGTTTAGATAGCGTATTATTCTATTATTTTATAGGGCAACTATATAAATGATGTATATTAAAACTTTATATTGCTTGAATAGCAATGGATTTAGTTAATAATATGCAAAAAAGTGTCTGCGTCGCTAATTTAGTGTACAGGTTGTATTATGCTTGGCTATATATCTAAAAAGCAAAAAATTCGGAAAGCCTACTTAGCTCAGAGGCAGAGCGTTGCTCTCGTACCGCAAATGTTCTAGAAGCTAAATTCTGGAATGGTGTGCAAAGCAAAGGTCGTCAGTTCAATTCTGGCAGTGGGCATCTTTTTGGATTATTTTTATTTCTTCTAAAAAATAATAAGCATTTCATTTTTGCTTTTTTTAAGATGTAAAATCGAATAAACTTTTTTTTTAATATATCGATGACTAAGTGGCGAATAAAACTAAATGGTAAATAAGACTGAAAAGCAAATTATTAGATGCCCATCTGCTGGTACATCTCTTCGAGCTTATCTTTGTTGTGCTCGCGGATGTCTGAGCGCTTAAGTTTCATGGCTGGTGTAAGCCTTTCGTTTTCCGGCGACCATAGCTCTGGATCGATGCGGATCGCGCCAAGGGTCTCTTGCTTGGCCAAGCTGTTGCGTTTGGCGACGTGCTGGAGATCGGCCAGGACGGCCTGGATGAAGTCAGGGCTGGTGGCAATTTCTGATGGATTGTTGTAGTGGATACCGGCGTTGTCAGCCATCTGAGCAATCTGGTTTTCGTCAATGTTGACAATGGCACAGGGCTGGCTCATGCGGCCATCAGCAAATATGCAAACGTTATGGATAAAGAGCGAGTTTTTGTACGTTGATTCAAGCGCTTCAAGAGCGATGTATTCGCCGGTGACCAGCTTGACAAGATTCTTCTTACGATCAATAATAGAGAGCTGGCCCTGTTCGGTCCATTCGCCAATATCGCCTGTCTTTAGCCAGCCATCATCGGTGACTGTTTGGCGTGTCTGCTCTTCATCATCCAGATAGCCCTTGAACACTGATGGCCCGCGCACCCAGATTTCGCCCTTGCCGTCTTTGGCATAGTAGTTGGCTTCGGGAACATCAACCAGTTTCATCTCGATCGATGGGCAAGGGGCTCCAACATTGCTGAACGAAGTGTCCGATGGCAGCTGCACAGACACTAAGCCTGAGGCTTCGGTGAGCCCGAAGCCCTGGATCATCGGGCAAAGCGCAGCATTTATAAGCCTCTGCACATTGTGGTTAATAGGAGCGCCGCCAGTGATGACAAACTTGAGCTTTCCACCAGTAGCCTCGCGCGTCTTTTTAAACACAATATTGTCCATGAAATTGTGCGGCAGGTTGTGGCCGCGCAGCGTGTTCTTAAGCTCGACGGCCCCGTAGAAGAGCTTGCGCACAAGCCAGCTACTCTTGTCCACCTGCTTGAGCATACCAGCGCGGATCGTGTTCCAGACCTGGGGCACACCCATCATCACCGCTGGCCGCAGCTCCTTGATGTCGCCCTTGCACTCGCGCACACTTTCGTCAGTGAGTGTGCGTGGAGTGCCGTAGCCAATACGCAAACCAGAGTACATGCAGTAAATGTCGACAAAGAAAGCCAAGACATGGGACAGTGGGAGATACGACAAAAGAGCATCTTCGCTATAGTCCAAGAAAGGTGCAATAAACTTGTGGATTCCGCCAGCAACGGACATGACACCCTGGTGGCCGATTAGCACGCCCTTGGGCTTTCCAGTGCTACCGCTGGTGTACATGACTAGCGCAATATCCTGGCTGCCAGGAACAACGATGTCAGCTGGATTGGCCTTGCCTAACTCGCGTAGCTCGTCCATTGTGTGCACGCTGTATTTAGCCTTTACCTTTTCGATCGCCTCCTCGCAGCCGGCAGGCATTCCATAGAGGTCTTTGTAGTACACCACATGCTTTAGGGTCTCGAGTTGGTCCATGATACGAGCCAGAATCGGCATTTGATCGGCCTTGAGGAAGGCAGCATCAACTTTGGCCTGATTCATGGCGTGCAAAAGACCGCTCTCACCCAAGGTGTCGTAAGCGGTGACAATTTGCATTGACTGAGAAAAGGCACCTATAAAACGGCATTGTTGCAGAGATTGATATGGATGAATAATTGGCAGAACGCGATTGTTAGTCCTGAATGCACAAGAACGAACAAACAAAGAAGAGAGAATGGGAAGGCGTGCACGCGGGAAAAAGAAAGAAGGAAAGCTATAAATAGGAAGCACGCAAAGCAGAAGCGCCATTCTGGCTGGGATGGCGCTTATCTTAACTAGTAAAGAGAGAGCAAAAACTACAACCGCCACCAAAATAAACAAAAAATTCAAAACAAAACAGGCTAGACAACTATACTTACCAAAAGCACAAAGCTGCCACTCACGCGAGGTCGGGGCGTAGATAAGTACGCGACTCTTGGGCTCCAAGCCAAGCTTCCGGAAGCCAGCGCCGAGATCTTTGGTGTAGTCCGAAACCTGGGTGTAGGTCATCCACTTATACTCGCCGAGCTTGAAGTAGCTCCACTTCTTGTTCATGCTCTCCATTTTCCCATTGACCTTGTGCTGGACGACCTTGTCCTCTGTAACAGTGCCCAGGACATCGCGTTTCCCAAGGAGATCGTTGTTGGGGCGCTCCTTTTGACCATGGAGAAGCGCCGAGTAGATGTCGGTGATGTTGGGGTCGGCGCGGTCGACAATGGCGTCAGCAGCTGTGTAGAAGCGCCGCGTTGGCGTCTCTGACTCGCTGCCGGTGTCTGGAACAGCCTGGGAGTAAACGGTCATTTCAAGTAAGCAAAGTAGAAAGAGAGAGGAGATAAAAGTGGCGGTTGAATTATAAACTAGCAAAAGAAATAAAGCAATACTAAAAAGTGAAAAATAAAAGCAAAACGAAAATAAAAGTAGAAAAAAACTGCCGCGGAAAAGTTGGACATGGCTGGCTCTTTATAAAGTCAGAGAAGCCATGTGGCCCCACCAGATTGCCACCCCCAGTTCATCTAGCTGCTTATTTAAGCAGGCCCATTCCTTCCTCTCACGCATTCTGTACACCAGTATAACAAACAAGCAAAAACTGAACATCCCTTCCCCTTCCTTCATTTAAAAATGAGCATATTCGCCGCCCTGCCACTTCTTTTTTCGTCTATGCCCCCAGCTCCTTTTCTCTCTGGCCAAGCAAAAACAGCCAAGCACTGGCGGCCAGCCGCTTTGCAGCTTTTTTGCACTGCTGCGGAGACTCCTCTGCGCCGACGTGCATGAACGCATCTGTAGCGTCATTCGACTCGGCATCGCTTTCTTTCTGTTCTCATGCCGCAGCTGGGGTCCATTATACCAAAACAGAACAACGACATTGTTGTTTTCCTCTGGTCATCTGCATCTTCCATCACTGGTGCTGCCCGCGTGCTTGACCATCTCTTTCTCCCACACTGCCAAACATGGCACAAGATAGCACAAGATAGCACTGCTGCAGAAAATGAAGAAGTAAAAAGCAGAAAGGGTTCCCTCTTTTCCTTCTAAACACGCCCATCATCATTGCCATCGCCATTATCGCTTCTAGAAAAAAGTCTCCCACTTGCTTCTTTCCATATGACACATCCGTCGCCGACGATCGGCATGCCACCAGCGTTCGGTGGTCATCCATTCTTATATTTGGGCTATAGAAAACATAATAATAAAATAATACATAAAAAGGACCGCTTAGTCTACATGCAGCGACTGTTGCTCGCCATCCGTCTGCTTTAGCTTCGAAAACAGGGACTTGAACATGTTCTGCCGGTTCTTTCGGTCCGAGTCACGTGCGCTTGGCAACGACGTCTCGGCAGGCACCAGCGACACAAAAAGTGCAAGCGGCACAAGCCAGATGCAGAAGAACATGAATGAGCACACCTGCCCAAAAGCAAATGTCAAGTTCTGGATAAAATAGAAGAACCATAAAAAGTGGTTTCCTACAGCCAGACTACAGCTTCCTAGGAACCTGATGCCACCGAGATTCACAAGCGGAAAGCTGTCGAGATTTAATGCGTAAATGTGATTGGCACACGCAGACACCAGCAGCCGCCATGTACTGAGCCCCTCAATGGCCATGAGCAAAAGAATAACGTCCACACCCCACACCATGTACCCAATTAGACGCCGTGTCAGTCGTGGGTACTCTTCCACCCATTCGGATAGCACGTACAACCCACACCCTATCGAGAACACCAGAAACACTGAAAACGTTATCCATCCTAGGACTACAAGCGCTTTGAAAAACACCATCGCCCCCTATCAATCTGTGCTGACTTCTCTCCGCCTCAAGTGTAAGTAAATATAGAAATTTGAATTGAAAGAGCAAAAATGTGCAAATCACCAGAAATACAAAATAAGTCCTGTGGGGAAACAAAAGCGTGTAGAGTAATTAAAAAATGAGTGGTCGAAGGCAGGCCAAATTACACGCGAAAATCGTTTGCTTTTTGGCTGGGGAGAAATATACTTTTGGTCGTGCAAAAACGCTTTTAAAAACAGAGGGAAGTATGTGTTTTGTCTCTAAAAGCATGCACCAAAAAGTGTTATCTGCTTAAGCTGAGCCAACGACCACAGGCAGCAAAAAGCCAGCTGAGGCTACTGATCAAAAGAAGCTAGGCAAGCGCGGCTGTAAGGACAGTGCACTGTTAGCCCCAAGCCGCCGTTGCAAGGGCAGTGCATAACAATGAAGCATTTATTATTTTTCCGGTGGGAACAAAGCTCCTGAATGGCCTCATTCTCTAGGCAGCATACCCCTGACCTAGCGAGAACGAAAACTCAAGCCTTAAAACGTTAGCATACAATTCAACGGTTGCATAATGCTATGCTGTGCGCTATCATCACCAATTTGCTAATGTGTGTTGTGTATGTTTGTGTATACTGCATTTAATGCGGTTTGTTCAAATTACCAATATTTATTTTCTTTTTCTGTCTATGCTGTTTTTTCTTTATCACAACGCTTTCTTCCATCCTAACAAAAGGTATTATATCACTCATTTTATAGTAGTATGTATGTACCTTTAGACATGTTGAGCAATTTTTCTTGGGCACACTAATTTGCTATTTTGACTAGGAGGTTGAGACATCTGTATATATTTCATCAATATTCACTAGCCTACTTTGAATTCTTATCACTATATCTTTATGAATGTGTCTAGCACTATACAGGCATGATACAGCGCTTTCTGAAGCTCTGAGCTGTTAGGCAGTTGCCATAATTAGCTTGTTTTTTTTCGATGGCGCCGCTTTACTGAATCATCCGTAGTGTTTAATATTTTAGCATGTAGCTCGCCCTCAAAGGTCGA